GTGAGTCTGTTCCTGGGCTCTTTTCTCTAGTTCACTGTCTGTCTGTGTAGCAGTGCCACCTGTCTTAATGCTGTAGCTTTTAAATTAAGTCTTGAGATCTGGTGAAGCAAGTACTCCTGTCTTGTTTTTCTAAGATTAGCTTATCTGTTCTTTCTTTAATACTTTGTATTTTTGTTAGTCTGCATTTGAAGTACATAACTGTCACACTCCTAGAGGGCTTTGGTACATGTACACAACACACATCAGTTCTTTTTACTTCTTCTTCCCTCTCTCCCCAGCTTATTTGTTCTTAGCCCTTTTCATTTCCATATAAATTTAGAATAAGCTTGATAAATTTTATAAAACAGAAAGTCTTTTGGTTTTGATTGGTATTACATTGTCCCATCTTATAGTACAGTTGGCGGAGAATTGGTAATCATTACATTAGTCTTCTCATGTGTGAACATGGCATTGCCATTTATTTATAGCTCTTATTTTTCTCAGTAATGTTTTATAACTTCCTGTGTAGTGATCCTAAACATGTTAGATTTATTCCTAGGTATTTGATATTTTAATGCTCTTATAAATTATATCATTTATAAGCTTTATTCAGTAATTGTTACTGATATGTAGAAATGAAATTAATTTTTCAACATTTGTTTGCAAAAAGTTGTGCAAAACACTCTGTGTTCTTAACATGTATCATACATGTGTAATGATTTCTTACTAATTTTCAATATTGGTTATTCCAGGAGAGGTTTATATAATTTCTACCAGTCACCAAGGATGCTCTTAGCTCAAAGTGAATTTTGTGTCACTAAGTAAAACTTAACAATAACTAGCAGTACCATTACAGCAGCTGCCAGTGACTGGGACTTTGGTGGCAGGACTGTGTGGCCTGTGGGCTGCAGCCTAGGCCTCCCGAGGACCAGAGCTGGTGCACATCCTGAGCCATAGGCTGTGGGGCCACACAGAGAGGAGTGTGTGTTTTGGCCTCCTGTGGGCAGTTTTGTGCTTGCAGGAACCAGGGGAGCGTTTCCCCACAGCCAGTGCAGCCTGGTACTTGTCTTGTCCTCTTCCTGTGCAGAGAGGGTTGTTTTTTAATGGATGGTTTTACTTTTCATAAAGGGAGTCCTCTTGGCTGTAAGTGTGTGGATCTGAAGTGACTTTGCCTCTTTTCAGGGCTGTGTTTTCGGATTTGACAGGTATTTAAAACACATTAAAAGTGGTGGCACACACTTGTAATCCAGCACTCGGGGCTGAGGCAGGAGGATCACCACAAGTTCGAGGCCAGCCTGGACTATATAGTGAGTTCAAGGCCAGCCTGAGCTACATAGTGAAATCCTATCTCAAAACAAAACTCCCCATGTTCCTTGTCCCTGGGTATTGGTGGCTTCCCTGTGGCAGCCTGGTCCCCTGCTTCGGCATCTGTGCACTGTGGCTCCTTGCTTGAGAAAGTAGATGCAGTGGGAACATTGCCTGAGAGGCTCCTCCTGCTGCCTGTGCATGTCCCTCCTCTCCCCACAAGTGGGTGTTTGTATGTCCTGCCTTCCCTGACCCTTTGTTCCCCATAGCAGGACAGCTCTTTCACATCTGTCTGCTCTCCTTGCTCAGGGACATCACCATGGTATCTCCTGTCTGTCCTCAGACCGAGTTTCCCTTCTCACTACGTCTCACATTCGCTCATAAATGGAACATGTGAGCAGACAGCAGAGTGACTGGGAGGATTTGGGGTTGGACAGATTCACCAGGGTGGGCCTGCATGATGGGGTCACTGCTGTCCTGGGACTGAAAGCCTGCTCAGTCCTCATGTGAGGACAATGAGGAGGTGGCCCGCGCTGGGGCACTGGAACCTGGGGGAAGTAGCTTCTGTGGTCTCAGCCCCTGTGGGTGATGTTTATCACTGCAGCATTAGCTGCAGCCCTGCCCACTGTCATACAGCCCAAGACGACACACACTCTGCTGCCCCTCCCAGCCCTGTGGGACCTGAGAGGGCTGCTCTGGGTGCTGGCTCCTGCTTTCCTCCTCGGTTTCCAGGGATCCGGTTCACTGTCATTCTTCCAAGATGGCCACCAGGGACTTCCCGTTATTGGAGCCGCAGTTCCTTCTTACCTAAACTCTCAGCATGGCTTAACACAGCTGGCTACTTCCACTTTGGTTTTGTAAGAGCAGTCTTGGGTTCACAGCAACAAGGAGGAAGGTAGGGAGGGGGACCTCTTGCTGCGGACTCGAAGAGCTTCGCCCTGTCAGAGGGACATGCATTGTGCTGGGTGTCACATGGCAGGCGGTCACACCTGGAGTCAGTGCTTGCGTTAGGCTCCCTTTATGATGACAGATCTCCATCCTTGGTGCGCCACAGGGTGTTTTCACAGCCCTAACAATTGTCTGTGCCCTGCCTCCCTACTTAGCTTTTGGCATCACCTCATCTCTGCTGCTTTGAACTGTTGGAGCCTCAGATTCATTTCTTGGACCTTTGCTCTGACTACGCCCTTGGTGATCTTATCCATGGTTCAGATGTCACCTAACACCGGCCCCTCCCCAACACACACAGACTGGGGATTGAACCCAGGGCCTTCATGCTAAGCCACATCGCCAGACCATTTTGCCACAGGGCCTCCCTAAGTCACTAAGTTGCCCAGGCTGAGTTGGAACTTGTCATCCTCCTGTCTCAGGCTCCCCAAGTGTCAGGATTTCAGGTGTGTGCCAGCATGCTTGTTACTTTTCCATGCTGATGACTTTCATGTTTCCTTTGCTTGTTAGCACTCTCCGGAATTCCACTCCCTTGCCCCTCATCTCTGCCTGGCTCCATCTTCAGAATAAAGCCGTAGTTTGCTCGTTTCCTTACACCTCCATAGGGTAACCCACTTGAAGCCCCACCATTCACCACGTGTATTACTATATTAAAATGTTAATACAGCAATCCCCCCAACTTCCGCTGTTCTCTGCTCTCAAGGCAGTAGTGGGAATAATCACTTTGAAATGTAAGTCAGTCCTGTCACTGTTCAGAACCGTCAGAGGCTTCCCTGTTCACAGGGCCTCCTGGTTCCCAGCGCTCCTGGCCACATCTCTCTTGTTCTCTCCCTTGGCAGCGCTCGCTGTTCCCGAGCAGGCTTGGCCATTCCCCCTTGGGTTTGTTCCCTGTCATTGCCTCTCCTGGGAGCCTCCTTCCTCAGCCCCGTGTGGCTTCCCTGGACTCTTGACTGCCAGTGTCTCAGTGAAGCTTGCTCTACTCACACTCTTGGAGTTATATTCCTTCTGCCTGCCTTTGCTTTACTCAGAATACTCAGCAGCAGCATAAGTGTTAGTTTTCTGTTGTAGCAGAGCTGAAGGCCGTGCTTTACTATGTGTGCTGCACGTTGGGGATCCTGGCATGGCTCTCGGGGTTGCAGAAGTTTGTGATACAGACATTCCTTGTGGAATAATTGAGTAATATTCCTGTGACTAGGTTGTTAAATGAGGAATTTTAAAAACAATACTGTATATACACTACAATATCCAGAACACAGAAATGGTGCAAGGAAATTCCAACTTGTAGTACTGTAATGTATAACAGTGTAAACTGGGCATGGGGCACATGCCTGTAATCTCAGCATTTGGTAAGCAGAGGCAGGAGGATCGCTGTGAGCCTGGGCTATGTAGTGAATTCAAGGCCAACTGAAATACATAGTGAGATCCTATCTCAAAAAAATAAAATATAAAGAATAATAAAAGAACACGAAACTAAAGTACCATAAAGTACTGTCAGCAAAAATTATAGTACTAATGAACACGGTGTACTGTACAAACAAAGACAGATCTGTAAACAAGATGTGCGGAACTGTACAAAAAAAAAGACAGGTTGTAAGTCGCTGAGTCATTAACCAGGCTGGTCGTTAAATGAGGAGTGTCTGTGAAGCGTCAGGCAGGGACAGACTCGGGGGCTGGTGAGAGAGCTGGGGTACCACTGCTCGTGCGGCTCCTCCTTGGATGCCTGAGGGGCTTGGCAGTGCAGCTCCGGTGTTTGTGGCACAGAGGCTGTGCTGTCGCTGTGACCACGTGAGAATGATGTGGAGATGCAGGGTGCAGCCAGTGTCGGGTGGCCGTTTCAGAGTGAGCACTTGAAAGGGTTGCGTATGATTCAGATGGCCAAGCCAGGGAGATGTCCTGGCAGCCTGCATTCAGTGTGTGGTGTAAGTGGAGAGCGAGTGCTAGGTCAGAAGGACACGGAGGTGTTTGCCTGGCCGGATGAAAACAGTGGTCTGTGCTCACTGTTCAAAAATATCTCCCTCCATTGTTTCTTAGAGGTTGATAGTTTGCATAAATGCTGGCATTTGTTATTTCTCTCCAAGTACTTGTCACTGTGAAGGGTGATGTGAAGGACCTTAAAGTAGACAGTTTCTGTTTAAAGAGATACTTTAGGCCTTTAACAAAACGGTCAGAACTAAGTAGATGATAAAGTGAGTTTCTAGGTACATCTGTGAGTTTCTTACATGGCCATAGAAGTGATTTCTGTCAGCTGCCTAAACTCTTTCTCATCACTTATCACAGAGTGAGAATCAGAAAACCATTGGCCCATGCACGAAGAATGCTGTTACATTTTGAGGGAGTTGTGAAAAGAAGGAGGAGACTGTGTCACAGACCTCTTTGGCCCTGCATCGAAAGTTCACTGGTTCCTGATTGAGAGCAGGAACCAGTTCTGTGGCCGTTTCGCCCTTGTCGACGTCTTCACAGAGCACAGCATGCTTGCTGATGGTGATGAGCAGGGTGTGAGTCTTCTCATCTTGTGGTAGCTCACCCTTGGTGCTAGCGTCAAACTCCATGGGGCATTTGTGTCCGTCTGTTCTAGAGCGTATGCAGAGAAGACTGCACATCTGGATTCAAGAATGTGTTCTTGAGAGCAACAAATGTCATGCTAGATGTGGTTTTGTCACAAGTATGGGTCACACATTAATTTTTAGATCCGCTATATCTTTGCTTTGAAAAACTGCATTTTGAATTGTGTGTGTACATAATAAGTGTATGTTGATGTAACTGTTTTGCAGGATGACTGTCTTTTGAAAGTGTGGTACCCCATGACTGGTTGGAAGTCTTCAATTATACCTCAGGATCATCAGGAAGTGAAACGGAGACAGGCCTCGACCCAGTTCTCCTTTGTGTACCTGGCTCACCCCCGAGCAGTGACGGGGTTTTCCTGGCGTAAAACTAGCAAGTATATGCCTAGGTGAGGCACATGCATTGTGTGACTTTAATTGTGTGCTTATACGTTTATGAAAATGCTGTAAGTAAAACCCTTTTACTATACTGCCGTGCTGATTAACAGAATTGGCTGTGGGGTCCAGCTGTCTGAATTGAAGCCCTGCTATTGTCACTAGTTTTGTGAGCTTGTGACTCATTTTTTAAGCTCTCTCTATTTCAGCTTTTCCCTCTGTAGGGTGAGTAGGAGTAGTGAGCACTGCCTCAGGGTTGAGGTGAAATCAAAGTGCCTTTGTGGGTGTGAGGTGCTCCGCGCAGCGTGTGCCCGGTGCTGTTGGCCAGCGCTGTGAGTGCAGCTGCAGGACTGGAGGGTCTAAGGAGGGTGACTTTGCGAGTGACAGGAAGGCACACATTGGGCACTGATAGCATAGCACTAGACTCAGCAGTACACACGCTGGCAAGGCACAGAGCAGTGGAGACAGTGGCTAGCTTGTGCTTTCTAATCTTAGACCTAACAACAGGACCCTTCAAAAATATTTTTAAAAAGTTTTTTATTGATGTTCCATTACAGATGTCTGCTTTCCCTAAATGCCAGTCAGAAGGTGCTCCTTTTTAAAATCTCCTTTTCTTTGAGGCAGTAGCTTCTGTGCTTCCCAGCTGATCCACACTTGGGCTCAAGTAACCTATGGCTTCAGCCTCCCTGTGCTTGGTTATAGCTGTGCACCACCACACCTGCTTTAAAGTATTTTTTGTTATAGCTGTTGTTCAGTATTCCTCGGTATTGGTTCTTGGATTTCCCACAGGTACTAAATCATTAGGTGCTCAAGTTCTTTGTAGAAAGTAGTATGGAATTTGCATTTAACCTACACACCTTTTCCTGCTACTTTGAATCACCTCTAGATTACTTTCAAAACCTAGTACAGGGCTGGGGATTTAGCTCAGTGGTTCTGCCGCCTGCCTTGTAAGCGCAAGGACCTGAGTTCCATCCCCAGTACCAAAAAATAAAAACAAAACAAAACCTAGTACAATGTCAGTGCTAGGTAAATATCTGCTACACTGTGTTATTTAGAAATTACAGGAAAAAAGCATGCATACTCAGTATGGATATAATTTTTTCCTGCAAATATTTCCCATCTGTACTTAGTTGAACCCACAAATATCGAACCCATGGTTATGGAAGCCTGATTGTGTAGGTATCTAGAAACTACAAAACAGTGCCTACAATGAGTTGGTATTGTATGTGCATAGCTGAGAAAGTGTTGGACACTCAGGAGCTTGACTAGAAACTGTGGCCTTTCTTGAGGGAGGGTTATTTCACTTGCTCCACACACGAGAGCAGTGTATACCTGACAGGAAATAGCATGCATTACAGATGTGCTTAGGAAAAGATAGCATGGGAAGCTTCTATATTTTTGGAGTCCAAATAAAAGATTTATTCTTTTTATTTGCATCTATTGAAAACATTTGCAGAATAGTTTTTAGACTTTTGAGTCAAATTCTGTGTAAGCATTTTTTAAAAAGGAAAAAAGATTCTTTTGTTTTTCATCAAGGAGCTGAAGTATCCTAACTACCTATGGTAGGACAGGTGTAGCTTCCTTGTTACCTGACGTGGTACAGTGTTTATGTCTGCACCACACATACCCTCCCCACAGCAGGTACAGTGCTTCAGCTCCTTCAGGCTGTGACATTTGTTAACTGAAAGGGCATTGATTTATAGTTTGTAATGATATCCTCACAGTTTAATTATGAAGATGTGTTCTTAGCTGTTTGTAACTGTTTGGATTGTGAGAGTGTGATGTAAAATGATAAAACTGCTACCATAAGCTGGGTTGCTTCATTACGTTGAATGATCTTTTATTTGGACCACTCTGTAACTTACCATGCTTATATTTTCTTGTGCTGCTTACTTAGTTTTGTTTAGAAGATGCTCATTTTGTGCCAGAACCTAGTTTTCAAGCAGCACGTGCACAATCAGGCATTCATTTCTGTTACGTTTTTCCAGACCGTTTTCTGATCTTCATGTATGCAGTAAAACTGGACTCTGCATGATTTCTAGCTCTTTGGATTGGTTACTTTTTTACACTGATGTCCTTTTTCTGTATGAAGAACCAAATATTAATAGCCTTTAATTAATCGATGCCACTGCTATCCATTGCAACTGCTGCTTATTTCTTTTTGTTGCCAGGGGCTCTGTCTGTAATGTGTTACTAACTTCATGCCATGATGGCGTGTGTCGGCTCTGGGCAGAAACCGTACTACCAGAAGACTGTCTTATGGGTGAGCAGATCTGTGAGACCACCACTTCAAGCGTCGCCAGTCCCCTCTCTCACGCTGGAAAACACAAGGACAGGGTCCAGCATGCTCTAGAGGTATCGTTACTTAAGATGGGCTGGAGGGCCCTGGCTCAGTGGGGGTGGTGCACACAGCACATATCACGGTGGCCTTGATGCCCGTGAGGGAGCTGTGTCACTGCGAAGCCATTCCGAGTAGGGTCTAGGGGAGCAGTAGACTTGTAAGTCTTTCATTTTGCACATCAGCTGTCAAGATCTGTAGGAAGAAGTGGCTTTGATTAGGAAAAATCTAAAGGTTCTTTTAATAACTTGTAATCAAAAGTGATTTTGGCTTCATGGAGATTGAAGTTTACTTTTACTTTAATTAAAATTATTTTTAAGACTAATTATTAAAATAGTAGTGAAATTTTGGTTTATATTATTCATGGCTAAATATTTTGAAAATAAAAATACTTTATAAGAAATTAGATTATTTGTAGTATCACATAAAATACTATCTCTAGTATGATTGAGGAATAAAATGAGATTTACAAATCATTCAGAATTACCAGAAAATTTTTATAGTAAGCATAGGTTACTATTTTCTTGTGAGTATTTCTATTATATGAGGAATATATGTTTATTCTAAAATTAGCATAAAGAAAGGAAAAAAAGGCATGGAATTTGTAATTAACCATTCCAGTCACATGTGTATATTTTTCTGTGTAAGACTGAGATTCTGTCACATAGAAAGTACCGTACCTCGTTCCTTACACTTCATGCATTATAAACATCTCTGCATTACTCATTGTATGTTACATTGTCTGTCTATATTAATACTCTAATGGTTATGTGGCCGCAGTGACTTTGTTATTTTACTGTCAAGTAGAAATATTTCACAAATTTGGTAGTTTGAAGATGTGGTCCTTTCATGTTTCTGTAGAGTAGGCAAGCTCTGGTTCTGTGTGTTGGGGAACTGTTTGTATATTTTTCAATATTGAAAGCATAAATGAAATTAGAAGTCAGAACATCTCAGATTGTATTTTTTTTTTTTTTTCTCTTGCCAGGGATTGAACTCGGGTCCTTGCGCTTGTAAGGCAGGCCACTGAACCACTGAGCTAAATCCCTGGCCCTTCAAATTGCCTTTTGATATTGAAAAATAGTGGGATGAGGGATTAACTAGATTTTAAGATCATGTTATATACTTCTGTAAATGTAATTTTCAAATTACATATATGCCATGGGAGGCTGTTTGCTTTTAGACAACTTTATATCCTCCAATAAATTGCTTCTCAAATATTTGTGGAGTTGTATTACCAGCTGCTACATAAAACAAAGATGTAAGTAAACATGTAATCAGTGATTCGACAAGTCTTTACTATCTTGTAATAATGTCATTAATAACATTCAAATAAGTTTTAAAAGAAAAACACTTGATTGTCTGTCTTAGGAACTGTTTTACTTTCTGATATTCTCTCCTACAAAACTCCTAACTTCTAGGTCTATATAATTGTATATATTCTTAAATCATACTTTTTGTTTCTAGGAGAAAATAACCAGCCATTATTAGGTCAGCCTTGCTAATTTAATTTAAAATCCTGATACATGTCGAGTATCTTTTGAAGGTTGGCACGGTAGCACATGCCTGTAGTCCTAGCCCTCAGGAGACCAAGACAGGAAGATCTCCACAAGTTCAAGACCAGCCTGAACTACAGAGTGGGACCCTGTCTCAAAAAACAAAAATGAAACAAAAAAAATCTGTTGAAAATAATTCAGTAGGCACTTTGGAACCAAGAGGCCTAAAAAATAAGCAACTCCATAGGAGACCACATCTTTAAACTGGTACTGTTTTCTATGGGAAAAGGCATTTAAAAGGATGGAGAAATTGATGAGGGCCAGTGTTACTTTAATGGAGAAAGAATTGATAATGTGTTACAATTTCTTTAGTTGAATATAGGGAACAAAGGGAGAAAGGGAGCTTGTCTGGCATACCTGAGGCAACAGATTCCATGTCTGGCACTGCAGAAAGCGAGAGAGTTTTCTGTGTGTCGTGTAACAGCTCTGCCAGAGCCGGGCTCAGCAGTCATCTTTTTGTTCTAGACAATACACCATTTGAAGAATTTAAGGAAAGGCCAGCGGAGGTCCTCTGTCCTCGTCACTCACACTGAACTCATGCCCGACCAGACGGCCACGCACGAAGTCCAGAGACACATCTCCCACCACGCCAATGCCCTGTGTCACTTCCACATCGCCGCCAGCATCAACCCAGCCACAGGTCAGGGTGGTACGCTCCTCCTGTAAATGTGCTGACAAAAGTAAATGCGTTGCAGAGTGAGGCTGTTTCAGAACCTGTCTTGTAGGTTGGCGTTATTCTGTGTTGCCTTTTAAAATACTTCTGAATTGGAATGGGGGCGTAATATAAGGTACTGTTACTTAAATTGAGACCATGATTCTCACAGTATAGTTTCATAAGTATTTTTGAGCACCTTTGTCTAGACTATGACAGTGGTTTCATGGATATTAAAGCTTTAGTCTCCGGGAACACAAATGTTGCTAGCCTGGCTCATTGGTATAATTTCCCTCCCTTTTAATTTTATTATTTATTTATTTTTGGTGTTTTGAGACAGAGTCTGTGTAGTTCAGGCTGGCTTTGAATTCACTACGAAGCCTAGGCTGGCCTTGAACTTGAGGTGATCCTCTTACCTCAGCCTCCTGCATTCTGGGATTACAGACATGTGCCGTCATGCTGGGCTGACGCTTATGTTTTTAACCACTCTTTTTTTTCTCAGCTCTTGCTCATGACCTTCCTTATCTAAATGTACTTTACAAAGTTTTCCTTATATGTCAGCATATCTTATTTTATACCCCTGTAGACTGTTGGCCTAGATAGCCTTGGTGTTTTCTTTCACCCTTTCCTCTTACGTGCTGACAAGTATTGCAAAGCAGATTCTGTATTGGCAGAAGCATATCTGAGGGTTTCTATTTTAGGAAGTGTGTTTTCTTTTTGCAAGAAGACATAAGAGAAAGGCAGTAAAATTCACATTGTGCTCCTGGTTGATCTGCGTTTCTGTAAACATAGTCACATCTCATTGAATTGGAGGTCTGCCGCTGCAGGATGAAGAGGAGTGTTGATGTTTGGTGGTGAGTAAGCGCTGGCCTAGAGCTATCTTGCTGGTGGCTTCAGGTGTGTGCTGCCTAGGACAGCTGCCTGAAGCTGTTGGAGCACCTGTGATGTGGCTGATCCCAGTTGGATGTGCTGTAAAATATGCGGTGTTTAAGACTCTGTATGAAAGAACCTAAAATACCTCAATGGTAACCTTATTTCTTGCTGGTGGAGAAACAGGAGGGTTGGAGCAGGTCCTGCCTTGCAGCCCTTTGCAGCCAGGACTTGCTTTCTGCTGTTCTGGACTGAGGTGTCCATGATAGAGTTCTGAGGAGGTGAGAGGAGGCGAGAGGAGGCTCTGGGTGAGCGGTGGCTGAGGACCCGGCTCACCTGGTGGAGGTGATGCGCTCCGGGTGCTGAGCAGAGGATGGCCTGCTGTCATTAGCGGTGCGGGGGTGTGGACATGTGGAAAGTATGCACAGGAAGAGGAAACCTGTGATTCTCAGGGAGGAAGGCATGCTTCCTCCCCTAAATGGCTCATTCTGCAGTTACCAAGTTGGAAAAATCTCTAAGAGTTGTAGAGATCTTGTCACAGGGATCCCCTACCTGAGCCTCAGGGTCACAGTGATGTATTCTGTGGCAGCTGTGTGTGATGTTGGCCCTGGCACACAGTTGAGGGTGTGAACTTCATTGCCTTGAATGGATCATCACAGTGCTTTATAATCACTTTGTGCCGTGTTTGCTGGTGCTGCCTGTGTCCTCTAGGGTGGCAGGCAGAGCACTCTGAAGGCAGCATGCACCTTCAGGATTGTGATGCCTGCCAGGCACATGAGGCCCCAGGTGACATCAGTGCAGAGAGTGCACAGATGGGTGGTGGAGATGGGCCTGAGCGTCCTGCTAAGCTCATATTTCATTCACACTCACTCTGCTTGCACACCCCAGGTCTTATCCAGGCCACTGAGTTCTCTCAAGACTGTGTTCACATAGCTTCAGTCCTCTCTCCTTGGGTGGAACCCAGAGAGGTCCTATTCCTGTTGCTCTCTGTGAACCAGCAGTGCCTGCTGCTGCCTTGCTTGCCTTGAGATCAGCTTTAGGAACAGCTGGAGTGGTTGGGATATTGTATTTTATCCAAATGAAAAAAATTCCTAGAAACAAAAGTTCTGTCGAGTCATGGATTGAAGAGAAAGTCAACAATCAAATTCAGTGTTGCCACCTAGGTGCAGTCCCATGCGGAAAGTCTGTGGGCGACTTTTGAACAGGTGTTTGTGTGGCCAGAATCCCCAAAGGAAATGGTTTGACTGGCCAGTTGAGGCTGTAAGCAGGATAGCTTAAGGTTAGAACAGCTGGAGCAAAAGGCAGTGAGAGAAGTGTCTGCTTCAAGCAACAGAAGAGCACAGTGTGCTTGTTGCCCTTTGAGTAGAGGCACCAGGCTGCCCTCGCAGGCCTGCTCTGGGGAGTCTGAATGTCGCTAACGTGTGGTGACAGAACCCTTGATGCTACCTTTGTAGAAGGATGTTGAGGAGAACAGGGCAGTTCCCTAAAAACTGTGAGGGACGGTGTCCCTGTGGTGCTGAAGGAGATCCAGCCCCAGGAGCTGAGAAGGAAACCAGCCACTCCTAAAATGAAATTATTCTTTAACCCCCCTTCATTATGTGGAAATTGTACCCATTACTAAAGAATTATCCAACAATCAAAAAATTCTTATATTACTGGTTGAAATAATATTTTGCATATATCATTTGCATGATAATATATTTCTAAAGTTATAGAAAATTATTATATATATTTTACTTCCTTTTCCTATGTTTTGTTTTGTTTTTTTGGTCCTGGGGATCGAATTTGGGTCCTTGAGCTTGTGAAGCAGGCGGTGGAACCACTGAGCTAAATCTCCAGCCCTGTTTTGGGTTTTTTTGAGACAGGGTCTCACTGTGTGGTCCAGGCTGGCCTTGAACTCACTGTGTAGCTTAGACTGGCCTCAAACTTATGGTGATCCTCCTGCCTCAGCCTCCAGAGTGCTGGGATTACAGGCATGTACCTCTATACCTAGCTGTGTTTTTGAGTTGACCATTTACAAATAAAGCTGTTATTACTCTTTACCTCCTAAATGTTTTTATAATATTACTTGAATATTTAAGAATCAATCCTCTCTCCCTTCCTCTCTCCCACTGAGTTATGTCACCAGTCTTTTTAAGTTTTTAAAATTCTGATACAAGGTCTTGCTTAATTTCTCAGATTGGCCTTGCAATCCTTGTGCCTCAGCCTCCCAAGCATCTAGGATTGTAGGTGTGTACTACTGTGCCCAGTCATACTGTATTTTCTAATCAAAAGGAGATTTGTCTCTCTAACCACCATACATGAATAAATGATATGTAATATTCAGTCATATTCAAATATAATCTTCTAAAATGCATTTGATTGTCATTTTTCTTTAATCTAGAAAGTCTCTTAGTTGTCAAAAGTCTGAGTCTCAAAATATTGTCTCTCACTTGTCTTTTACAATTTTTTCTTTTACAGTGTTTTGCACTCTGAGTATTTGTCCATCTTAAGACTTGGGTTTAACATTTCTAGGAAGAATAGTACGTGGGTACATAGGTGAGGTAGTGTTTTATAGGAGTGTTATATACAAGTCTTATTTTATGTGAGTTATTTCATTTTTTTAAATACATCTGTTTCTTTGCAATTAATGAAACTGTAACACATGCAATAAACTGAATCGTAGTCACTAAGAGTAATTGGAACTATGATCTACCATGCAGTTGAAAATACTATAATCAAGGTATAATTATATACTGAAAAATGTAGCAAAGTTAAGAAAAATGGACAATAAAAAACTATTATTTGTTAAAGGCAAATCTTAAAAGTTGTGTTTAAAATCATCCATTTTAACATTGCCAGGAAGTTGAATTTGTTATTTTACATAATGTCAGTGAAAACAAATAATCAAGTTGTCTCATGGACTGGCAGGTGGCTTATTAATTCCTTTTCATTTCCAAACCTCATCAAGCAATCACTACATTTATGAGGTGAGTCAGCTGAATGCTTGAAATTCAAATGAATTTTACGATCTTCAGTTTGTCCTGTTGAATATTCACAATACTGACATAAATAAATCCCTTCAGATAATGTGAATTTAAGTGCTTGTAGTATTCTAGCATTCGTGAAAAGCCCTTCCCACACTCATCACAAACATGAGGAAGTATTTTAGTATGTTCGGTAGCAACATGCCCTTTAACATTTGTATGAAGTCTATTCCGAAAACCACATACTTGACACACGAAGGAGTTCTTGCATTTGTTAAAGGTGCTGTACTGTCCATGTTGTCCGTTGTTGTCCTTACCACTTAATTCTGTTAACTTACATGCATGCTCCTTTACCTCATGGCTGTGCAAGTCTTACCGTTGATCACAGCTGTGCTCCTGGAAGTGTAGGGAGAGCTCACTGCTCGAGGAGAACTGCACACACACACACTGCTCACACCAGTAGAGGTGATTGCAAGTGCCTGTGTCTGCAGGTGCTGGCTGAGGTTCTCAAAAATGACAGTCTTCTAGTCATAGTATTTACAAATGTAGGGACCCTCTTCGTGTCGTTTGGCATGTTGGTAGAGAAACTCCTTGCAATACTTGGCACACATTTGAATCAGTACGTTATGCTTTAGGATCATATGCTGCTTTAAATCAGAAAGATATTTACTGTTGCATTCACAGTTATTTCATTTTATCATAAAACTAGTATTGTCATCCAGGAATTGAAAATTAAGAAAAATTTAGAGCATCAATACTGATGTTCACTATAGACTACTACTGGGGCATTTCGATGATAATTTATTTTTGAAAAGAACAATTTTTCATTGGATGAATCATTTACTGTATGGATAAAAATTAAAGGAGTTAAGTCTTTGATTTGTGCAGTTTTGCATGAATTATTCTGTGACTGTCACACACTCCAGATGGAGAAACACTGCTGTACTCCACGTTCACCTGCCTTCTCACGTTTTCCCCCTTAGACATTCAGAACTGTCGAGCAGTGGCACAGGGAGCACTTGCAGGTCCTTCATGTGGATGCCGCAGTTGTTATCAGCTTGTACACAGTTGCTTTACTCCCTGGGAACACTTGTGTGCGTGTGTGTTTATGTAGGTGTGAGTGGAAGCTTTTCTTCGTATTTTCAAACTGAGACACACTTAGCACAGTGTGTCACTGTTACTACATTTGGCAAGTATCTCCTACAAATAGTGATGTTCTCTCACAAAATGAGAATATCATTACCTGAGAAAACTACAAATATTTCCATAATATTTAGTATCAACTCATAGTTAAACTTCTCTGGTTATCTCTTTTATCATTGCTTTTCTGCCTTATCTTTTCCACTCTCCTGTCCCCAAAACAAGACTCAATAAAGGCTTATGTATTGGTATGTTCAGTTTTTAAATTAGTACTGCAGTTTCATGTAGTCTGTGCCATTAGTTTTTCAAATTTACATTAACCATTAAACTCAGTTAAAGATCTGACAGATTCTGCTGCAGTCATGTTGTCTTGATGTTTGGCATTAATCAGCATTTTTCCTATTTTTAAAGAAATTACAAAACCATGTTGGAATCTAATCTTCTTTATTTTCACAGATATCCCCAATGCCCTGATTGGCACCGCCTTTAATGTTGATGATGGAAATGGATTTGTAGTTCATTGGTTAAACAACAAGGAATTTCATTTTACATCTTCAACTGAAATATTTATGCATCAGTTGCGAAAACTTTCCGAGAAACATTTAGGTCATGAAAGCAATGATGCAGATAGAGAAGATGAGGAACATTCACAGGAGGAGAGAGAGAGAGGCTTACGAATGAAACTAGACCATGGTTAGTGACCTACCTGTGTTTGAAGTTTTCTTTCTCTGAAGTCGACAAGTTTCTGTGTGTCTCTTATATTTTGGCATCCTCCTTCTGGCTCGTCCTTTTCCATGCATGCAGTCTGTGACTGCTTACTGAGCATCTACCATGGACCAGGCACTGTGCCAAATCCTGCAGACATTGCTGGACCCTGTGTGTGTGTGTGTGTGTGTGTGTGTGTGTGTGCATGCGTGTGTGTGTTTTGTGATTCTGGGGATTGAACCCAGGCTTTACACAAAAATACTGTGGAAGCTGTATCATTTTGGGGGGGCAAGTTTTGCTAATCATAACATTAATGATAACATTATTTATCTAAAATAATAAATTAGGTAATTTTCAAAATAGTTTTTCTGACCATAAATTGGAAAAGGGATTTGTAGTATCTAAAGATAGTATGCTTTATAGTCCAGTATGTAACTTAATTTTGATATATTATTTAAGGTGTCTTCTGATTACTGTCTTTTCCGATTCAGAATTATCCCTGGATAGAGAATCAGAGGCAGGTACGGGGTCATCGGAACATGAAGATGGAGAGAGAGAGGGCAGCCCGAGGGTCTGCTCCCGGCCCAGTGTGCCCGTGCCCCTGCCTACGGTCCTGCTGGACCGCAAGATCGAGATGCTGCTCACAGAGTGGAATAAGAACCCCGACATGCTCTTTACAGTGCACCCTGTCGATGGTACCTTTCTAGTGTGGCACGTAAAGTATTTGGATGAATATAACCCTGGGATATTTAGACAAGTCCAGGTATATTTTCCACATGAAGCAATTGATTACATTTCTTTAAAGAAAATAAATGCCATGTAGACTTAAGAGGTTTTTAGAATTACTGCAGAATTTTGTTTGATAATCAGCTGAGAAAAGAATACCTGCTCTTGCTTCCCAAGAGGATCAGTGACCATACGTTTTTGCAAACCCAGTTAAAAGAAAGTGTATTGCGAATTTTTTGGAAATACTTGCAAAAAATATATGCTAATTTTTTGTAGGAATTCATAGTATTTTGAATAAAATTAAGAAAGTGTCCTCAAAATATGACTCAAGATGAGCTTCCCACTCTCCCTTCTGTTTTATTAGCTACATTAAGCCATGTTAATCTGTTTTCTTTCTCAACTTTATTCCAATGTAAATCTGTGACTGTGGTCTGCTGTATGTAAAGCAAGTCATTTGAAACTTTGTGTTTCATCTGAGGCTGTAAATACCGAAATTCTCCTTGAATGGAAGAGAAAAGCCTCAGAGAGAGGTTGAAAATGATATTTCTTCCCAGGAAGCTGCGATTTGGCACTTTGGAAATGAAAATGTCTTGGGAAGATGACTTTGAGCCAGAGCAGGCCCCTCACACTGAATCACACACTTCTGTTTTCAGGTTTCTTTCTCTTCTCGAATTCCGGTTGCCTTTCCCTCAGGCGACGCGAGCTCCCTGAGTAAGAACATCATGATGTATGCCTGCATGAATGCCACAAAAGACGCCCACCACAGCCTGCTGCACCCGGAGCTGCTGCTGGCTGGCAGTCCTTGCAGATCGCAGCCTTCTTCCAGGGCACCCTCCCTGGGTGTGAACATCTTAGACCCCACTGTGATGATGGTCTCTAAGCACATCGATGGCTCTCTGAACCAGTGGGCAGTCACGTTTGCAGACAAGTCTGCCTTCACCATGGTTCTGACTGTGTCCCACAAGTTCCGGTACTGTGGTCACCGCTTCCACCTCAACGACCTGGCGTGCCATTCGGTCTTGCCACTCCTGTTGACGTCCTCCCATCATAATGCCCTGCTGACTCCTGAACCTGACTGCCAGTGGGACACGGACAATAAATTAAGTCGGCCGATGGACCCTGCGAGACATACAAAGGGCATGTTGTTGAAACAGCCTCTCCGAAACGCAGCCACTCGCACCTTCCATGACCCGAACGCCATCTACAGTGAGCTGATTCTGTGGCGCGTGGACCCAATAGGACCCTTGTCCTACACTGGCGGAGTGTCGGAGCTGGCTCGGATCAACTCTCTCCACACCTCTGCCTTCTCCAATGTGGCTTGGCTTCCGACCCTTATTCCCAGTTACTGTCTTGGTGAGTGTTCATTTAAATTGTGAAATGAATAAAGGCTTTTAAACTATTATTTGTACAAGATACTTTTAAATATGTATTCAGAATGTGGGCACCAGACTTATTTTAAGAATTAAGTTTGTTTTTAATCTTTTCTTTCTTATAATCTGTCTATTGAATGTTTGCTTAATAATTTTAAGTCTGCTGATTGTTTATGATTCTAAACCATAATTATACCTAAAAAGGGTTAATATTTGTTACTCACGTCAGCCTATGATAAAAATAAACTGTTATAACACAAAACTTCTGTTTTCCTTTTAAGGCACATACTGCAATTCTGCAAGTGCTTGCTTTGTTGCTTCTGATGGCAAAAATCTGCGACTCTATCAAGCTGTAGTAGATGCAAGAAAGTTACTGGATGAACTGTCAGACCCAGAGTCCTCAGTAAGTGCTGCTGATCTTTATTAAAATATTAAAGGGCTGGGGATTTAGCTCAGTGGTGCCGCCGCCTGCACAAGGTCCTGAGTTCGATCCCTGGTACCCCCCCAATATATATACATATATATAAAAAAGCTGGAGGAGATTCTCTTTGTTTTGTCTAGATAGTGGCAATGAACCTATGGCATGCATGTTATTTGTTTTGCTTTTAAGATGAGAGATACAAAAGTGGTTTTTTTTTTTTTTTTTTTTTTTTTTTTTTTTTT